ACAAAGAGAAATCTGGTCAGGAAAGATGGCATAGACAGGGGATGAGTCAACACTGAAGGGCCGCCTAGCCTCACAGGGGCAAGCACTGGACATAACCAGCAATCAGAGCTACGTCAGGGCTCACAGATGATCCAGGTCTCAACTACCTGGCCCTTTGTGCTTTGTACTTGGTATGGCTGCCATGCACCTGTGCACGCAAACTTGTACGCCTTTTCTCCTGTTAATCTGTATTGTCAGCATATATTTTTTAAAGATTTATTTGAAAGGCTTAGTTTATTTTTTAATTATTTGAAAGGCAGAGAGAGAGGAAAGGAGGGAGAGAGGGAGGGAGAGAGAGAGAGAGAAAGAGAGAGATCTTCCATTTGCTGATTCACTCCCCAAATGGCCACAATGGCCAGGACTGGGCCAGACTGAAGTCAGGAGCCAGGAGCTTCTTCTGGGTCTCCCATGTGGGTGCAGGGGTCCAAGGACTTGGACAATCTTCCACTGCGTTCTCAGGCTCATTGGCAGGGAGCTGGATCAGAAGTGGAGCAACTGGGAGTTGAACTGGTGCCCACACTGGCATCCAGTGTGGCAGGTGGCAGCTTTACCCACTATGCCACAATGCCAGCCCCAGTGTATTTTTTAAGGTTTATTTTTTAATTATTTGAAAGGCAGAGCAATAGAGAGAGTGTGTGCATGACAGAGACTGAGAGAGATCTTCCATCCTCTGGCTCACTCTCCAAATGCCCACAATGGCCCAGGCCTGGGCCAGGCCAAAGCCAGGAACTAGGAACTCCATCCAGGTCTCCCATGTGGATGGTAGGGACCCTAGTACTTGGGCCATCATCTGCCACCTTCCAGAGTGCATTAGCAGGGAGCTGGATTGGAAGCAGCATAGCCAGGACTCTAACTGGCTCTGTGGTATCAAAAGCCACTGATTAACCCTGTGTACCACAACATCAGCCCAAGTCAATGTATTTTAGCAGACAAATAATTATATAAACCTGAGAGTGAAAGTTTAAACTTCCCTATACCTGCAGGTCCATTTTCCAGCAAGATACACCCATCTGTGTCCTAGACATAGCTGAGCCCTCTAAGTTACGATGTACAGAAGAACCCTATTTTCTTAACCTGGGGTGGGGGGATGAAGAAGCCTCTGGAGCCCTTCCTGAATGAAGCCAGCTGCAGAGCACCTGTGAGCCAGAGCGAAGATTAAACACAACCCAGCAACAACAGCATAAAGTTTGTTAAAAGGAGGCAAGAACAAAATATCATAGGAGGGGACAAAGGAGCAAGCATTAGAGGTTCTTATGGGACAAGGAGGAAACCAGTCTGCAGCAGGGAAAGCAGAGTGGGGAGTAGTAACTGCGGTATTGATTCTAGCTTTTAACATTTGTCTGTTTTGTTCACCATCCTTTCTTCATATTTGCAAACAAAAATTGCCTCCTTTAGCCTTTGTCTTACAATTTATTATTATTTATTTTTTTTAGTTTTATTTATTTATTTGAAAGGCAGAGTGACAGTGAGCAAGAGAGAGAGAGAGAGATGTACCCACTGGTTCACTCTCCGAATGCCTGCAACAGCCAGGGTTGAAGCCAGGAGCCCAGATCTCCTTCTGGGACTCCTGAGTGGGTAGCAGAAACTGGAAGCTGGATTGGAAGCAGAGTAGCCAGGACACAAACCAGCACTCCTGTATGGGATGCAAGCATCCCAAACAGCAGCCTGACCCTTGCACTACAATGCCCACCTCCACAATTTCCTATCTTATCCACCTCTTCTTTTGTAATATGGTGAAAAGCTTTTGATTTCTTCAGGTGAAAGCATTATTGCTCCAGACTGTTGAGAAATGACTTAAGATGTGTATATTGCTCTTTGTAATTTCTCCAAGAAAGTAAAATGAACTACTTGCAATCACTGACTCTATTCAAATAACCACTTATCACCTGAGGAAATTCTCTGAAACTTGGTCTTACAAATTTGTTCTTGGCCAAAAGCCTGGAAATCTTGGTTTGTTTGGGTATTATTTATCAGTAAGGTGCAAAAACAGTCTGCAAAAACATGACAGCTTATCATTTCTGCATGGTGGGTTTATGACTTACTGTTCAGTATATTAATTGAATTCTTTGTATCCTTTTGTTGAGTCCTCTAAGTATTATTAAGTATTTTCTCTGGTAATCAACTCATGCATAACTTATTTTTCCATTTTTAGTAGCAAAAATAAGATAAAAACACCTCCAATCTACAAAAACCTTTGTTGACACACATTTTTTCTCTGAGAATACCATAATATTAATTTAGATCTACTTGAGAAGCTTGTGCTGTGGAGTAGAGGATTAAACCGATACCTGTTGTGCCAGTATCCCTTATGGGCCCTGGTTTGAGTCCTGGCTGTGCTCCATATCTGATCCAGCTTCCTGCTAATGCACCTGGGAAAGCAGTAGAAGATGGCCCAAGTCCTTGGGCCCCTGCACCCATGTGGGAGACCTAGGTGGAGCTCCTGGCTCCTGGCTTTGGCCGGGTCCAGCCCCAACCTTTGTGACCATTTGAGAAGTGAACCAGTGGATGGAAGATTCTCTCTTTCTCTCTCTCTCTGCAACCCTGCTTTTCAAAAAAAAAAAAAAAAAAAAACCAAAACAAAAAAAACTTTAAAAAATAGATCCACTTTTGAAGAAATGAAATGAGTGGGGAACATTTTCACTTTGGTGTAGCAGTTTTGATTCAATTTTCTAATTTACATCCCTTAAGAAGAAGGCATTCAGGTAGAATGATACAAGACACCTGAGTTTGGCCGGCGCCGTGGCTCACTAGGCTAATCCTCCGCCTTGCGGCGCCGGCACACCAGGTTCTAGTCCCGGTCAGGGCACCGGATTCTGTCCCGGTTGCCCCTCTTCCAGGCCAGCTCTCTGCTGTGGCCAGGGAGTGCAGTGGAGGATGGCCCAAGTGCTTGGGCCCTGCACCCCATGGGAGACCAGGAGAAGCACCTGGCTCCTGCCATTAGATCAGCGCGGTGCGCCGGCTGCAGCGCGCCAGCCGCGGCGGCCATTGGAGGGTGAACCAACGGCAAAGGAAGACCTTTCTCTCTGTCTCTCTCTCTCACTGTCCACTCTGCCTGTCGGA